CGGACGATAAGTAGTTAGGCGTCCCGTGAACTCTAGGTAGTTGAGCAAGTCGCCGACGACCATTAAGAACGCGATGGTCCCACCTAAACTTGAGCTAGATTGAGTAAAATGCAGAAACGTCTGCCAGTGACATCCGGCAGAGCAGGAGGCAACCACCCACCACGGCCCGAGGGCATGCCGGGAACCCGTCAACTCCCGGCATATTTCCGCATTGAACTATTTACACTTAATACGGGCATGTATCAACCAGTGATCAGCTGTGATTGTATTATAATTTACATAAGTTATACTAGAAGGGATACCCGGCAGTGTCCGGGATAGTGTGTTTCTCCTTCACCCCAATCACCTCTTCACCTCCTTTTTCCCACCCATTTCTACCGTCCTCCTCTTCCCCACCTCCCTCTCCCTCTTTATTTCAATCTCTCTATTTTCCCCTTCTCCCCACCCTCCTAATCTCCCCCGTCTGACCTACAAGTCGTTCGCCTTCATCACCTTCAAGAGAATAACTTGAAAGGGACTCGGTCAGCCACCTTTCTCCCACTATGTGTGGGGGAGGGGGTCACTATTCGGGCTTAACCCCATTACAGGACCAATACGATCAACCCCGACCACTATGTCTGTTTAGTACCCCTAGACCATTCACCTTCCAATGTTGGGTAAGGCTCCTAGCTTCTGGCCTCCAGCTTTGGAGAGAGAGACAGATATTCTTATAAAATATCCTAGATAGACTAGGGGCGGGGCAGCCGGCATGGGTCTGTCACGAGAGCAGGGAAGCATTGGGTGGTTCACACTTCTGCTCTAGTGGCGGCCCAGGGAACGCTTCAAGTTCCAGCTGGGCAGCTTCAAGTTCCTGATTGTGGTTGTTTTGTAGCGTAGTTGATAGATCTACCGTCTCCCACTCTACGGAGTCAGTGGTTCGAGACCCATAGGGCCCAAGTGAGTGATTGTATATATATATAAACACTTCTCACTGGAAGATGCTAGAAGTGACGCAAACACTACTGAACGTCAGCGAGTGGTGAAGGAGCTGACGGTAACATGGCAGTCTTGTCGTGTTCCTCTTAGGTCAGCAGTGGGCTGATAAGAAGGCCCAACATTGTTATAATGAGTCTGTCCACGGGATATATACACCAAGAGGTATACCTCGCTTCTCGGTGTAAACTTGCTGGTTGGAGAGTAAACTACTGGGGCGACGTTAATAACTCATGCGTCGAGAGGCATGAAAGCCAAACAAGAGATCAAAGACGTAACAATAAGTGATTAAGGGCAGCAACCAGGAGATAATAAGAACAATATTCAAGTCCACGAGAGATAGATTCCGAGTGTTGGACGTGACAATAATACAACAATTCACATATTTCCACATGTAATGGACCTGCTGACAGTTATCATGACATTCCTTCACAAACGGAGATCAAGGTATTGGAGTCAGGATCTTTACCTTACAACAATAAACTGACATTTACACAGCAGGATGTGGGACGAATTGAATTGTTTGTCACTTGCAAAGATCAAAATACACACAGGAGCAACTATGACGTCATACAAACGCATTCGTGACGTCAGAGAAAGCTGTTTTGACGTCACTGACGCTTACAACCAGCGGCTTGAAATGCTGGGGCCCAAGATCTAGAAGTGGTGGCTCGTGCAGGCAAGCATTAGGTAACACACACATGCATTAGAGCACGCTCCTGGGTGCACACACACACACACACACGCACACTATTGTATGGGCTGTGTGCCTCAGCAGAGGTCAGGGCTGGCCCACATGCTGGCTGGCACAGGACGTCTGGCGTCTCCACTACACACCGAGGAAGGGTTTGGCAGGTCCGTCTACGACGCCGTTCGGGATTTTGACGTCAAAATGCAGTGTATTGTGTGAGAGGACAGGTTGGGTGGACAGTATAGAGACAGAGTAGGGAACTGTCACAAGCAGTGTACTCCGGAGTTCTCTCCCTGATCCTTTATAATACACATAATTTGATACCTTAATATCGGACTAAATATGAAAAAGAAGTAACTTTGCAAACAATTCATACATTTTACGAAATACAGATTAGTAGGAACACACAGAACAACCGGGAAAAGATATAATTAGGCTTCGAGTCTGGACGGAGAAGTGGCAAATGCGTTTAAATACAGATAAATGCGAAATACATAATGTTTGGTGAGGAAAAAAATACGTCATTTGTTATCAGCCAAGTAATGTGGAAATAAACACATTTCTTTGTAAAAGGGATTTGAGACCCGCGTTCTTTTGTTGACAGAATGCTGCGTCATGTCAAAAGAATTTAAAAACTTTTCGAAACCTTAACAATTGCATGTTTTGATCAGCTATGGTGATGTCTGTGTTTAGCTTTAATGGAACGGCTATTATATGGGACAGATTATCCGAGGTGATAAAATGTGCAGAAAGTAGATATTCAACCATTTTTACATAATGTGATTAACTGTGAGGATATTTTAGCTAACCTATCTCAACTTCCCAGTATTATATTATATATATATATATATATATATATATATATATATATATATATATATATATATATATATATATATATATATATATATATATATATATATATATATATATATATATATGTCGTACCTAGTAGCCAGAATGCACTTCTCATCCTACTATGCAAGGCCCGATTTGCCTATTAAGCCAAGTTTTCATGAATTAATACACTTTCTCTAATTGTTTTCTTATGAAATGATAAAGGTACCCATTTCATTACGTATTAGGTCATATTTTTTTAATTGGAGTTAAAATTAACGTAGATATATGACCGAACCTAACCAGCCCTACCTAACCTAACCTAACCTATCTTTATAGGTTAGGTTAGGTTAGGTAGCCGAAAAAGTTAGGTTAGGTTAGGTTAGGTTAGGTTAGGTAGGTTAGGTAGTCGAAAAATAATTAATTCATGAAAACTTGGCTTATTAGGCAAATCGGGCCTTGCATAGTAGGCAGAGAAGTGCGTTCTGGCAACTAGGTACGACATATATATATATATATATATATATATATATATATATATATATATATATATATATATATATATATATATATATATATATATATATATATTATATATATATATTTATATATATATTTATATATATATTTATATATATATTATATATATATTTATATATATATTTATATATATATTTATATATATATTTATATATATATATATATATATATATATATATATATATATATATATATATATATATATATATATATATATATATATATATATATATATATATATATATATATATATATATATATATATATATATATATATATATATATATATATATATATATATATAAAATATAAAATATATATATATATATATATATATATATATATATATATATATATATATATATATATATATATACACACACAGTGAAGGGTGCACTGAATCGCCGGGAGTGATTAGGGGGGGTGGGGAGGGAAGGGGGGTGAAGAGAAGTCAGTGTACTGATATAAGTGTTAAGGGGAAAGTGGAATGGTGTTTACCGCTCAGTGCTCACCTATTTTAACAATTCTGACTTTCGAATTCTTTGTCGAATCTGGTCTTAATGTAGGGGATGGAGGTGGCTTCCACAACTTCTTCTTTCAGTGCATTCCACTTGTTGACCACCCGCAAAGGGTACAAGCATTTCCTTATATTTCTGTGACTCTTTTGAGTTCCCAGCCTCCATTTATACTCTCGCGTAGTATTTCCTCTCACTTTGTCCACCTTATTTATTCCGGCTCAGTATCTTGCTTGTTGCGCCACGTGTCTGTTTTTTCCCTTCAGAGTTGTGAGGTCCAGCTCCCTTAACCTCTCCTCATAGCTGAACCCTCATATCTCCCCCCCCCCACTCTTGTTTCAAAGCTTTGTTTAAGTTTGGGTTTAAGCTTAGCAAGTTGCGGATTCCAGGTTGATGCTGCATAATGCAGTATTGCCTAACAATGTCTGTGTAGATTGTCTTGAGTCTTCATTTAGGTTTCCAAACGACGTTCTAAAGTTATCCAGCGTTCAATATGCTGTCGATGTTAGCATCTTTATTTGTGGAATCAGTGTTAGTGTTGGCATTACATCCACTCCCAAATCTTGTTCTCTCTCTGACTCTTTTACCTGTCTTCCCCTTAAGTGTAAAAACCTTCTGAAGTCCTTTCTTCCTTCCCACCCTCATTACCGTACAGTTGATCTTGTGTACACATCACCGTAGAATTTGATCTCTACACTACCGGAAAGATCCAATTCTGGCTCCCATTTGCCTGCCCACTCCTTAAGTTTGTTGTCTTCCTATAACTTCCAGCAGTCTTCCGAGGTTTTTACATCCCTGAATAGCTCTGCCTGGTCGGTAAACACTGACATCACTAATTAGAAGCAGTAGTGGTCCCAGCCTCGAGTCTTGGGACACCTCACTTGTTACACCGGCTCGAGACCTCCGCTCTGACTATGACTGTTTTCTGGCCTTCAGGTAATTCTCACCCAGTTCATTATCTTCCCAGTTATCCCAGCTTGCTTCTCCATCTTGTACACCAGCCTCTCACAAGGACCAAATACGTTTGGACAGTCTACGTAAAAGAATGAGAGTGCACATCTAACTGTGACTGTAGATGTTGAGAGGGGGGTAAGGGGGATCATGGGGGGAAGGGGGGTGATGGAATTATGAACATGGTTGTTACTGAATGGTAGGGAACGGAGACCGGGTGTGGGGGAGGGGGGACTTGTGTTGGTGAGGGTGTTGTAGAGATGAGAGAATGGTCGGGAGGGAGGGAGGAAGGGAGGGAGGACAGCCAACTCTCCTATCAGGTCAAACTTCCCGTTGCCAACGCGAGGTCACCCACACACATTAACCCCTCAGATACCTTGACCACAGAGACCAGGAGCGCCACAGTCTACCCCAATAAAGACTGCCGTGCTGTGCCCCACACGACCCACACCAGCCCCAGCTGTGTGGGTGAGCAGCGGGGTAACGTGTCCCCAGCGTGAGGGAGGAGGCATCACACTTCCTGCAGAGTGCACGAGTTCCAGGCTCCGCCACGTCTGGGTGGGAGGGAGGACACGTGTGAGTGCGTGTGTCCAGTCTGGCACTCTGACAAACGCACTCGTCCACTCCTTGTCACTCACTCATCATGTCAACTGCTGCTAGAGTCATGCTGCTGCTCTTCCTCTGTAGTATTGCTGGTAGGTGTTATTGTGTCGCAGGTATAGCTGCTGCTACTGCTGCTGTTGCTGTTATTGCTGCTACTGCTGCTGCTGTTGCCGCTGCTGCTGCTGCTGCTGCTGTTGCTACAGCTGCTGCTGCTGCTGCCGCTACTGCTGCTGTTGCTACAGCTGTTGCTACACCTGCTGCTACAGCTGCTGCTGCTGCTGTTGCTACAGCTGCTGCTGCTGTTGCTGCTGCTGTTATTACTACTGTTGCTGCTACAGCTGCTGCTGCAGCAGCTGCTACTCGCCTTGCTATATCACAAGTGGACGTCTCTAGTGCCACAAGTGGATGCCTCTGTGCCACAAGTGGATGCCCCTGTGCCACAAGTGGATGCCTCTGTGCCACAAGTGGATGCCACTGTGCCACAAGTGGATGCCTCTGTGCCACAAGTGGATGCCTCTGTGCCACTAGTGGATGCCTGTGCCACAAGTGGATGCCTCTGTGCCACAAGTGGATGCCTCTGTGCCACAAGTGGATGCCTCTGTGCCACAAGTGGATGCCTCTGTGCCACAAGTGGATGCCTCTGTGCCACAAGTGGATGCCTCTGTGCCACAAGTGGATGCCTCTGTGCCACAAGTGGATGCCTCTGTGCCACAAGTGGATGCCTCTGTGCCACTAGTGGATGCCTCTGTGCCACTAGTGGATGCCTCTGTGCCACTAGTGGATGCCTCTGTGCCACTAGTGGATGCCTCTGTGCCACTAGTGGATGCCTCTGTGCCACAAGTGGATGCCTCTGTGCCACAAGTGGATGCCTCTGTGCCACAAGTGGATGCCTCTGTGCCACAAGTGGATGCCTCTGTGCCACAAGTGGATGCCTCTGTGCCACAAGTGGATGCCTCTGTGCCACAAGTGGATGCCTGTGCCACTAGTGGATGCCTCTGTGCCACTAGTGGATGCCTCTGTGCCACTAGTGAATGCTCCTGTGTTACAAGTGGATGTTACTATGTAAGTAACGGATGATTCCGTGTTACAAGTGGGTGCGTTAGTGTCACAAGTAGATATTTCTGTGTCACAAGTGAATTCTTCTGTGTTACTAGCGGATTATTCTTTGTAACAAGTGGCTGCTTCTGTGCCAGGAGCTGTGACCCCCATATATAACCAGCGAGCAGAGGTGAGACAGGCGGAGCTCTGTGCTCCCCAACCTCTTATAAGGTTCTATGCCTCGGATGAAAGTAACAGAGGCGTCATGACCATTATTCATGCAACACAGTGGCCACTTTACGAAACCTGTACATCTCTCATCAATTATGGTGGCTTAGTATTTATTCAACAGATTAAGAGTATAGGGACGCTGCGACTATGCCAAGAACAACATTTACTTCCATAGCTCAGAAGCTCGTAGTCTGTTCAATGTTTATACAGACAAAGCCGCCGTGAATGAGATAAGATGTACATGTTTCGCAAGAGGTACGGAAATGCACGATGAATTCTGGCACCAGATGTCAGCTAAACAACTGTGTAATTACAAAATCAAGTGAGCACCCACCAGTGAGCCCCCACTAGTGAGCCCCAACTATTGAGCCCCCACTAGTAAGCCGGCTCTACTGAACCGCCACTAGTGAACCTGCCAATAGTGAGCCCCCCATTATTGAGCCCCCCACTACTGAGCCCCCCTCCACTAGTGGGCCTTGTGGGGATCGAACCAGCGGGTCAGGAGTTGACCCAACACATTTACCATCAAGCACGATATGATATTTACGTCAAGTTTTCGTCATGAGGTTTAACCATTTAGTAAGTCATGGTGGTGTGTGCTCCCAGCCTGGCCTCAGCTGCCACACACTTCCCCGACTCAGTCCTCACTCATTATGTCCACGAATTAAAACACTTGGATATGAATGGATCACCAGCGACTTTAAATTATCTATATTAATCACCAATGGACAATATGTATAGATATATAGGTTGCATCATGAAATACAAATACAATATTTTTCCTCAGGCAGTCACAATGTTTCACACGACACCAACAGTTCATCAGACTATTTCGTCTTCCTTAATTCCATGTCAGTACTGTGTGGTATCCTCCGGAGACACGTAACACGACGATATAATACACCGTCACAGTAGGGGCGAGGCGGGAATCACATCTGTCGACGTCAACCAGTATTTAGGACGTCATGTCACCGGGGTGAGAGTGAGTAGAGTACTCTCTGCTCCAGTTTCTGCCGGCGCTCATTACCTTGTCCGGCGACCCTGATTGGCCATCAGGATTCCCGCCACCTGACGAGCCGTGCCGCGCTTGTTAAACAACCCTCATGGGCGTTGATCTCGTTCATCCTGTAATAACAATATATACATGAACCAGTTATAATTTATTTTGTACCTCCTAACGCCAGAGGAATTTAAATTCTTCCTAAGTGAGACGAATTAACACTTTTCTCACTCCCTTTACGTAACAACCGCCACTAGTGAGCCCCCCACTGGCGAACCGCCACTAGTGAGCCCCCACTAGAGAGCCGCCACTAGTGAGCCCCCACTAGAGAGTCGCCACTAGTGAGCCCCCCACTAGTGAGCCGCACTAGTGAGCCGCCACTAGTGGAAACAACTGCAAATCAAACTGAGACATCAAAACTAGTTAGCATGAAGTGGAAGGTCAGGCGGGCCCAGGAATGGAAAGCAACACGCCACAGTAGAGCGCTGAGCACTAAGCCAGGTGACAACTCCCAACCTGCTGAGTCCTTTATGTCAAATGTACTCTATCTCCTCAGGTGACATACGCTGCCAGAGTGACAACCCCGCCAGTGATGGCGACGACGGCGGCCAGGTAGACGCAGACGACGGCGGCGACGACGACGAGCAGGATGCCCCTGGCGAGGACTGTCAGCCCTCCATAGCCGACACCTGTTTCAACGACCTGTCGGAGAACATCCTGTGTCACGTCGACACTCCGGTCGACCGCAACTGCACCTTTAGGAACTCCAGAGACTTTTGTGTGTGAGTGTGTCACCCTGGCTTGTGAGGCGCCTGTGTCACGCTGGCTTGTGAGGCGCCTGTGTCACGCTGGCTTGTGAGGCGCCTGTGTCACGCTGGCTTGTGAGGCGCCTGTGTCACGCTGGCTTGTGAGGCGCCTGTGTCACGCTGGCTTGTGAGGCGCCTGTGTCACGCTGGCTTGTGAGGCACCTGTGTCACGCTGGCTTGTGAGGCGCCTGTGTCACGCTGGCTTGTGAGGCGCCTGTGTCACGCTGGCTTGTGAGGCGTCTGTGTCACGCTGGCTTGTGAGGCGCCTGTGTCACGCTGGCTTGTGAGGCGCCTGTGTCACGCTGGCTTGTGAGGCGCCTGTGTCACGCTGGCTTGTGAGGCGCCTGTGTCACGCTGGCTTGTGAGGCGCCTGTGTCACGCTGGCTTGTGAGGCGTCTGTGTCACGCTGGCTTGTGAGGCGCCTGTGTCACGCTGGCTTGTGAGGCGCCTGTGTCACGCTGGGTACTGTGTGTTACATGCTGAATGGATGAGTATATCTTTTAATATACTGTAGTGTATTTGCTGAATAAATAGTATCATTTGGTGTATTATTCGTGCTGAATTAAGTATCTCTTTTAGTATATTGTAAATGCTAATGGGCGAGTACATTGAAAAAATATACAATACATTCAGAATGGACGAGTATCTTTTTTTAGCATACTATTATTTTGAATGAAGTATCTTTTTGAGTATCTTTCAGTATAGTATCTTTTTGAGTATCATTAAGTACAGTATTTTTTCAGTATCTTATGTAGTATCTTTTTTGAGTATCTTTAACTAACTCTCCTTTCATTACTCTATTAAATGAAAATTAATGATAATTCTAAGAATTAGGAAAATAATTTCAATTGAATATTCTAATATAATAATAATAATAATAATAATAATAATAATAATAATAATAATAATAATAATAATAATAATAATAATAATAATAATATGTGAAGATAACAGGTCCTATGTTATCTCTTATGTTATCGTGTCCCCTCCCCCCCCCCAGGGGTCTGGACGACGCCCTAAACTGCACGTCAGACATCGTGGACAACGGGTGCAGCGCGGAGCAGGGCCGCGACACCTTCGATGTCTGGCTACGAGGGATGAGAGCGGTCCACCGCGCCCTCTGCCTCGGTCGCGACCTCTCTCTCATTGATAGTGCGTCCGGTGCTTGTTGTAGGGGTGGGGTGGGGTGCAGGTGTGGGGAGGATACAGGTGTGTGTGTGTGTGGGGAGGTGGTGAGGTGGGGGTGGATACAGGTGTGTGGGGAGGGTGTTGTGGTGGTGGAAGAGGGAGGGTGTGATTTGCTGGTGAATGATATATGTTGCTATTTGCTCTTGGAATAATGGTGGTAAATGGTGCTGTTGTTAGCTGTAGTGGAGTTGTTTGTGATGGTGGGGTGGGGGTGGGGGGTGTTAATGGTAATGGTAGTGGGTGTGGTGGTAGTGGGTATGGTGGTAGTGGGTGTGGTGGTTGTGGTGATGGTACTAGTATACAAGTAGTGTTTTTCAGGCTTGTGGTGCCGGGCAGCAACTTGTGTGGACGAGATAATCTTAACCCTTAACCACACACACACATATATATACATATATGAAGATAGCGTCATATACATATATGAAGAAAGCGTCATATACTAAAAGTCAATATTACTGAGTGAACAGAAGACGTGTAACATCTCTTCTCTCCCTTGTAGACATCCTGAAGAGCTCCAACTGCTGGAAGTTCAAGAAGTTCGTCAAGTGTGCGGAGGAAACAGCTAACATAACCCACGTCAGTGACCTCCTCACTACCAAGCTCGATAGATATGAGTGCAAGTAAGTACGGTCTCACTTCATGCAGGTCGGCGTTCAATCCCCGACCGTCCAAGTGGTTGGACACCATTCCTTTCCCCAGTCCCATCCCTAATCCTTATCCTGACCCCTCCAAGTGCTATATAGTCGTAATAGCTTGGCCCTTTCCCCCTGATAGTTCCCTTCCCTTCACTGGTGTGTGTGTGTGTGGGGGGGGGGGGGTGTCTCACAATACGCTAATGATATATTGAATAGTGTGCCCGCATGGTTCTGCTACAACTCTAGTACATTTACTATTTGTATCTGCAGAATCGAGCTATTAGCTCTTGGACCCCGCCTTTCTAACCAATTTATTTTTCCTCTATTATATCTACTACAGATTATTCTCTCTAACTCACACACACACACTCAGAAAGCAGCAAGTAGCAGCTGTCTAACTCCCAGATACTTAGTTACTGCTAGGTGAGCAGGGGCATCAGTGTGAAAGAAACTCAGCTCATTTGTTTCTGCCTCCGCCAGGGACCTTAGGGCTTCAATCCCAGAGCGCTGTCCACTCAGCCGCGAGGCCCCCACATGTGTATATGTCCCAGGGTTGGTCTAGTGTATGTGTATGGTCCAGTATTGCCATGTCCACTGAAGCGGACATAGGACATATACACATTACAGGAAGCTTCGGACATGTGTATTATACTCACTACGGCAGCCTTGGAACATACACACACTAAGGGTACAGTACCCCGGTTTGAGAGCCCGGCCGTCACAGCTTCATGCCCCACGTCTGCTTGTATACCCATTGTATACAAGTGGGTATACCCACTGTATACTCTCTGCTGTCTTACCTGTATGATGAGTCTACCCAGTAGCTGTAAACTCTTGGAGGAATCGTACTTTTTTTGGTGGTAGATGTTTCGGCAGTATTGATCTTAGTTTATCTCGTAGTTTGTCCTCCAGTAGTGTTAAGACCCGGGCCCAAGATTCACAGCTGTACCTGACTGTATAAAGTGACAGCTTCACTCTTATTTAAGAGATACCTACCTAAACACACACTCTCTATACATATATATTTATTACTGACAAATAATTATTTATCTTATAATTATGTTAAATTAAGCATACGTATTTTCAATTAAACACAGCGTGTGTTTTGTTTCTCTCAAACTCGCCTGCTAATTAATTACCCAACCACTTGGACTGGACGGTAGAGCGACGGTCGCGCTTCATGCAGGTCGGCGTTCAATCCCCGACCGTCCAAGTGGTTGGGCACTATTCTTTCCCCTCCTTCCTCCCGACCCAGGAGAACAATTGTGGCTCCTTCTAGAATAGTTGATTTTGTTTACAAATTGTCTAACTTATAGAAAAGTACTATAAAATACAAATTTTAAACTGTACATTCCCATAGTTCACATGGGAAAGATAAGAACCATAGATCAGACCAGCCAATGGCCGGAGACTGTAGTACACAAGTGTCAGGCCACGAAGCTCGTCCTCCTAATAGAGCGTCACATCTTGACATATACTGCACTTTTAGTTATTACATTTTTACGTCCCTATTTTTTCACTTTTTCATATTTGAACCTCATTCCTATTCTTCGTTTCCTTTCCCTTCTAACTTTTTCTATACTTTAACTAATTCTCTTAATTCTAAGCTTTGTCTCTTATTCTTACCTTCATCTCACTCGTTTACCTTCAACTGTCTCCGCCACTCTTCCATTACACGCCTTGATAATGGCCCAACACCAATCACAACATCGTACAATCTTCATTATCAGATGTGTGTGTTGGGCGTCTGTATGTATATATATATATTACAGCCTTCAGCCCAGCAGCAGTAACGTGTTGCGCACCATACTAGACGACCAATAAGTATTAGTAATAATCAGTAGCTCTCCTCCCTCCTACAGCCTGTTGCAGCTCTCAGTGGGGATGTGCAACGCTGACTCGGAGAAGAACCACTGGAAGTGTCGGGGCAAGGCGGAGGCGGTGCAGCGGGCGCTCGCAGTCTTCTTCGCCCACACCTCTTGCGGCGAGGACACCTCCTGCTCCAGGGCCTCGGCACACACTGTGCAGGTGAGGCCGCTCTCACGACCCCTGCTGGTGAGGGACCCAACTTTACCGTCTCTGTGGCGTAGTGGTAAAGCACTCGCCCGGCGCTTCGCGACTACTTTGGCCTGGGTTTGTATCCTGGTCGGGGAGGATTGACTAGGCGCCAATCCATAACTGTAGCCTCTGTTCGCCCAGCAGTGAATGGGTACCTGGTTGTTGAAACGATTTGGCTGGTCGTATTCCGGGGAAAAATTAGGATAAGGACCTGCCCGAAATGGTATGGGTGCTAGTTGCTGTACAAGAATGTAAGAACTCTTGTAAGAAGTTACATCCGATATCGGTTTGCGCATGCGCATTATCTTGTCTTCCAGAATTATTTAGCAATTTGTGAAAATGTGTTACTTTTACTCTCTAATTATATTTCTAGTGAGTTATAGAATGTCTTGCCTACAGGTTGGGGGATCGTCAGGGTCTGCGGTGGTGCTAACGTTGGTGGTGATGCTGGTGGTGCTGTCGTTGGTGGGGGCCATTCTGGTGAAGCACAAGGTCCTCACTATTCAGGCCAGACGCCCTCAGTTCTGCGTCAAGTCTTCCACCACGAACGATGATCAGGAGGATTACGACAGGTTCCAGTAGCGGCGCATGCCCCAGAGGGTATGCAATGACTCTAGAGTGCAGGCAATGACCCTAGAGTGCAGGCAATGACCCTTGAGTGCAGACTGTTGTCCAAGAAGGCCTTTGGGTACTGGCCTTGATCCTAGAGGCGAGACCTTAGTTCGGAAGGAAGGACCGTGATTCTTGATAGAATATCCACACCTCGACCCCTAGGTGTAAGGTGTCCGACCCCTAAAGAAGAAGTTCCAACTCTAAAACTTAGACTCATGACCATAAAAGGAAAACCCTGAATATTTAAGAAACCCTTCACATTCTTGTCTAGGACGATATAGCCTTGTTCTCAGGGTAGCATCCTTGCATTATATATATATATATATATATATATATATATATATATATATATATATATATATATATATATATATATATATATATATATATATATATATATATATATATATATATATATATATATATATATATATATATACCCTAACTCTCAGGGATAAACCAATGACGCAGAAGGATCTTCCCTTACTCTCAAGAATATTTACTAACACTCAAAGATATACCCTGACCCTCCGGGAAATTCTGTGACTCAAGAATATACCCAGTCCATCAAGGAGAGAACCGGTGCCTTAAAGAATATACTATAGTCCTGAAGGAGTATGCCGCACCTCACTCCCAGTCATCCTGCACTCATCCAACTTTGACTCGTTAACTGAGTCAGAAAAAGAGGGAAAACTCCAATCCACAGATCGATGAGTGAATGAGCTATTCTTGACTTTAATTAATGTAAATATTTTTTTCCTCAACAAAGGTGCTCACTGTTGCTTCAACAGTGGTTCTCACCTGGAGGTTCACGGTCCACTGGTGCTCCCTCTAGTGTATCTTCCCAAGCGGCTCTAGTACCCAGCCTGACCTTGGTATACACACGAGAACAACCTTGCAACATACATATACAAGAGCAACTTTGCAATACACACACACAAGATCAACGTTGCAGCATATACACACTAGAGCAACCTTGCAGCATATGCACACTAAAGAGAGAGAGAGAGCACCAATGAGCCAATCACCACTCGTAAATAACACGGTGACCATTAACTCATAAGATAACGAAACATTACAAAAATACATGTTTTAAACACGGTAACACAGTTTAAACAATCTACAAAATAAAATCACAGATAATTGCACAAGTTTTAGTTGAAAGAAATTGATTTAATAAATAGCAATTAAAGTGTGTTAATGGTATTTATTAAGCTGAAATGTTAATTAGTTTTGTATTGGGCTTAAAGCCTATTACCCTCTGGAGGCTTATTAAAGCCACCTCAACACCTTACTGACCAACCAGCGAGTATACTTCAGTCCTGAACATTGTATAGGACTTAAGTAAACTCTTGAGTGTGTATATACAGACGAGTGGGGTACACCTCTCTGTGTACACACACCCGTGTAGTGTTATTGTCTCCTTATGTGTATATAAACTTACTGAAGTGTATGATTATTGAACTGGGATTCGGTACATATTTACAATATGTATGTAGATAGATGAGTGAGTGTGTGATGACCTCCCGACCAATGCATGTACATAATTGCCTTCTATTATAACTGTTTTGCACTGTACATACAACAAATACATCGTACCCACTGCTACTGTATTGTCCATACAACTAAATACATTCCTCTACAGCTTACCCAGTAACACTGTATATAAATATATATAGAAAACAAACAAATGTTTGTCATCATTATACCTGACCTGTTCTCAACTCCATAATAACAGAGACCTAGTTGGTCTCTAACAGATACTTGGTGGGTCTTTAACAGATACTTGGTGGGTCTCTAACAGATACTTGGTGGGTCTTTAACAGATACTTGGTGGGTCTCTAACAGATACTTGGTGGGTCTTTAACAGATACTTGGTGGGTCTCTAACAGATACTTGGTGGGTCTTTAACAGATACTTGGTGGGTCTCTAACAGATACTTGGTGGGTCTTTAACAGATACTTGGTGGGTCTCTAACAGATACTTGGTGGGTCTTTAACAGATACTTGGTGGGTCTTTAACAGATACTTGGTGGGTCTCTAACAGATACTTGGTGGGTCTCTAACAGATACTTGGTGGGTCTCTAACAGATACTTGGTGGGTCTTTAACAGATACTTGGTGGGTCTCTAACAGATACTTGGTGGGTCTCTGACAGATACTTGGTGGGTCTCTAACAGATACTTGGTGGGTCTCTGACAGATACTTGGTGGGTCTCTAACAGAAACTTAGTGGGTCTCTAACAGATACTTGGTGGGTCTCTAACAGATTCTTGGTGGGTCTATAAAAGATACTTTGTGAGTCTCTAACAGATACTTGGTGAGTCTCTAACAGATACTTAGAATCTCTGACAGAATCTTACCGTGGATATTAAAAGAAGGTGCAGAAGCACTAAGTGTGGCACTCTCTATGGTGTATAAAAGGTCACTGGAAACAGGAGACCTACTGGAAAGCTGGAAGACAGCTAATGTAGTCCCAATATACAAAAAAGGGTGACAGGCAAGAGGCACTGAACTACAGGCCAGTTTTCCTAACTTGTATACCATGCAAGGTGAGGGAGATCGCGAGGAAACCTACAAAATTCCAAGGGAATTGGCAGGGTGGACGAAGACAGACTCTTTAGCACGGGTGCTGCAACATAGCAGCATAGAATAGAACCAATGAAGAGCAGAGGTGCCATAGGCACAATCAGAGAACACTGTATAAACATCAGAGGTCCGCGGTTGTTCAACGTCCTCCCAGCAAGCATAAGAAATATTGCCGGAACAACCGTGGACATTTTCAAGAGGAAACTAGATATATTCCTCCAAGGAGTGCCGGACCAACCGGGCTGTGGTGGGTATGTGGGCCTGCGGGCCGCTCCAAGCAACAGCCTGGTGGACCAAACTCTCACAAGTCGAGCCTGGCCTCGGGCCGGGCCTGGGGAGTAGAAGAACTCCCAGAACGCCATCAACCAGGTATCAACCAGGTATCAACCAGGTATAGAGAACACAGCAAACTCCCAATCAGATGTAAATCAGGTCTTTCAATGGGCTACAGAAAATAATATGATATTTAATGAAGATAAGTTCCAGTTATTCCGCTACGGAAAAAATAAAATATAAAACAGAAACCACGTACAAAATGCAGTCAAATCATAACACAGAACGAAAAGGCAATGTAAAGGATCTGGGTGTACTCATGTCGGAAGACCTTACCTTTAAAGAACACAATAAAGTAGCCGTCACAACTGCAAGAAAAAGGACAGGTTGGATAACAAGAACTTTTCACACTAGAGATGCTATACCGATGATGATACTTTTCAAAACGCTTGTGCTATCTAGAGTGGAGTACTGCTGCACAATGACAGCCCCATTCAAAGCTGGAGAAATTGCTGACCTGGAGAGCGTGCAGAGATCCTTTACTGCTAGAATCCACTCAGTAAAACACCTAAACTATTGGGACCGACTAAAGAGCCTAAATCTGTATTCTCTTGAGCGCAGGCGGGAGAGATACATAATAATTTACACATGGAAAATATTAGAGGGGCTGGTCCCAAACCTGCACACGGAAATAACATCACATGAGACCAGAAGACATGGCAGGATGTGCAGAATACCCCCGTTGAAGAGCAGAGGTGCAACAGGTACTCTGAGAGAAAACTCTATCAACATCAGAGGCCCGAGACTGTTCAACACGCTTCCACTACACATAAGGGGCATAACTGGCCGACCCCTCACAGTGTTCAAGAGAGAACTATCAACATCAGAGGCCCGAGACTGTTCTACACGCTTCCACTACACATAAGGGGCATAACTGGCCGACCCCTCACAGTGTTCAAGAGAGAACTATCAACATCAGAGGCCCGAGACTGTTCAACACGCTTCCACTACACATAAGGGGCATAACTGGCCGACCCCTCACAGTGTTCAAGAGAGAACTATCAACATCAGAGGCCCGAGACTGTTCAACACGCTTCCACTACACATAAGGGGCATAACTGGCCGACCTCTCACAGTGTTCAAGAGAGAACTATCAACATCAGAGGCCCGAGACTGTTCAACACGCTTCCACTACACATAAGGGGCATAATTGGCCGTCCCCTCACAGTGTTCAAGAGAGAAATGGATAAGCAATTCCAAAGGATACCTGATCAACCAGGCTATGACTCAAACGTCAGGCTGCGAGCAGCCGCGCCCAACAGCCTGGTTGACCAGTCCAGCAACGAGGAGGCCTGGTCAGAGACCGGGCCGCGGGGTCCTTGACCCACCGGAATCAATGCCGGTAACTGTAAGGTAAGGTGCTGCTGTTTGAGCTCCTGGTATTGTAACTGACGCAAGGTAAGGTAACCAAGGCACACTGTGCCCTTAACACCTGAAAAATCATTTCAGAAAACTTGAAAAATTAACCACCATTTCATAATTGATACAAGTTGTTGACTGTTGCAATAGGAGCCAATCTTGCTTAAATATTTAAAGAGGACTGAACTTTTTTTTTTTTTTTTTTTTTTTTTTAGGAGCATGGGGCTCGACCCGACCCTTTATGACACTCTTCATATAATCGCAAATTACCATGACATTTGCATGTGTCTAATTGCAAGCATCTGGCTTCCACCCTCGGACTGACAAAAGGAGAACATATCTATATCTGTAAAATAGTATATCTGTTGGAGGCCAGACGCGTGTGGCAGCCTCACCCATGTGTCCAAGACGAGTAACTTTGGTCATGGGGAGTGACATTGGCCAATCAGTATCGACTCAAGTGAAAACATTAAGAAGTCTCGGCAGCTATAGAGACCTTCCCTAAGATTTTCATGACGTCTAAAATATTTGTTGTGTCTCCCATTATGATGTTCAGCAGTTACAGTGCTTCGTAATAAGGAATTTTGTTTAGAGTGGAGAGAGTGACGGAAGAGGAAAAAGGAGGAGAGGACAATGAGGGAAGAGTAGACAGGAGAGTGAGGAGCAGAGGACGAGGAAGAAGAGACCCGGGGACCGCCTGTTATACCCGTTGTAGTATATCTGTGAGAGAGGATGTCCATCTACCAGTCACACAGTAGAAAGACATCCTACCGAGAAGAGAAGCACACACGGGCTGCCACTTCCCGCGTATACAATGAACACACCATACACAGCCTTGACGGGAGAACAGGCAGTAAAAAGCACAACCACTTCAGCCAATTACATTCTTCCCACTAACACAAACGAACCCCCCCCCCTCACCATAACAACCCCCACGGCAATCCCCTCTCTCTCCCCCTTCCCCGTCAAGCTTGCTGTGGTGGCGCTGGTGCTTAATGTTGCCATGAGCGGATGGGTAGAGGTGAAAGGTAGGG